TTCCAGGTACATACTTGCAGAGTAATAAAATTAGGTTTATTCACCTGGTACAACGAGACAGACCACTTCTCAGAGGAACTATGGGATATCCTGCCAAAGGTTGAAAGGGAGTTATTACCGGATTTGTGTAAAGGCGGTGTTCCGGTGAATATTAAACGAGGGGGTGTTGATACGCCCCGAGCAAAGCAAGGCTGTAGTAAAGGCCCAGTCAGGTCTGACTGCGGGAAGCACCCAGCATCTGTCCCTGGAACTAGGAAGTTAAGAGAGACGTGGAAGGTGTGGAAGGAAACCCCTCATCTGCGAGTTCTTCGTCGGAGTAAATCGAGACTGTGGTGGAGTTAGGAGAGGAGAGGGCTACCCTGACACTGGTTAGAAGGCAGTGTCCACAGAACTTGGGGACACTGGATGCCAAGCGAAGACAGGGATTGAAATCTGACGCCTCCCTGTGGCTGGAGGGACTGGGCTGATGACCGGGTCTTCAGCTGATAGGAAATACACTGTGTCAGCCCCCGGTTCAGGAAAGCAGGGCTGGGTGGGGCCGGATGATCACCTGCTCTTTGCTGTAAGACTGCAGCCCGGCCCTGGGCTTGATGTGTGCGGGGATGTGAGGATGTGTCGCAGCTGTAGATACAGACTGCCCGGAGCCGAGGGGCTGCCAGGCTTCCAGGAAGGCTGCCTGGAGGACGAGCCCCAGCAAAGACCACAAATGAACCAGAGAAGTAGGAGTCCAAGCAGAGAGCTGCCACGTCAGAGGACCGGAGGAGAAGAGTTGGAGGAAGAGGGAGGGAGTGGAATCAAATACTGGCCGAGGACCAGGAATGAAAGAACTGAATTGGCCAACAGTGGGCGCATGCGTGATGACTTTGCCAGAGTAGCGCGGGAGCAGCAGGTGGAGCAGAGGCTGCTTTGCATGTGTTCCTGATCACAGTGAGGCTTGGAGAGGCCGCCCTCGGCCTTCCAGGGAGCTGGGCTGAGAGGGGAGGAGACAGGGCAGGAACAGCGGTGGCATCAGGCTCAAGGGAGGATCTTCAGCAAAAGATGTATTATTGTTTTACTCTTTCTAATGAGTTAGAATCAGGACTCTGGCTATGCCCCGCAGAATTCATTAAAAATATCAAAATAAAGACCAGCAGATGGCATAGTGGTTCTGTCACTGGACTCCCACATGGCTGACCGCAGTTCAAGTCCTGGACCCAGTGGCTTGAAAATCACACTGGGTGAGTGTGTGTGCGTGCCCCGCCCAGGAGGAGAAGAAACTGTGGCATGGCCATACCCCCTGGGGGTGGGGTGATTTCTCACTTATCCCCTCTGTCTCCTCTCTCTGGCACACACTCTAAGGCGGCATGCTATTTGTGTGAGCGTGTGTGTGTGAGCGTGTGTGTGTGTGTGTGTGTGTACAGAGAGAGAGAGAATCTCCTATGGCCAGGCCCATAGAACAGTGATTAACAGAACTGGATTCCACCCTGATTCCATCCCAGCTTTGATGGCTTAAAGAACACGCTGGGTACCTGTGTTTGTATGCCCCAAATTCCAATGGGATGAAGAAATAAAGGAAAAGGGGGGCAGCCCAGTGGCCTCGCAGTTACAGAAGCTGGATCCCACACGGCTGACGATGTGGTTCCAATCCCAGACCCAGTAGCTTGAAAAGCACCCCAGGTGCACGTGTGTGCACACCCCAAACCCCAGCAGGATGGAAAAATGGAGACGGGAGTGCAGCATGACCGTGCCCCGTGGTGGGGTGTTCTCCCTCTCCCTCTCTCTCATCTTTCTCTGTGCGTGTGCCCGCTGGCAAAGTAAAAAAGAAAAGAGAAATAAAGGAGAGACTGCGGTCTGACCACGTCCTGCTAAGGGTGCAACCCCTCCCACCATCCCTCCCCGTCTCCCTCTCTTCCTATACTCCAGCAATTAAAAAATAAAAAATAAAAAAAGTCTTCTGTAGTCTTTTTGTGTACCTTAGCATTGGACCCGACCTCTGTAACTCACTCACCATCCTGTGCTTTCTCTGGCCACACACACACACACACACACACACACACACACACACACACGTGTGTGGCCCCTTTCATTTGCTTCTATTATAACGATCACACAGATCCTTTTAGAAAAATATCCCTCCTTGTGCTGTACCCGGGAAGTGTGGCTGGGACAAACACAGCCCCGGGGGAGACAGTGAGGTT